AAGACTAACTGGCAAGAACACTCGACCGGCCTCTGATTGGTCAGAGCCATCAACACATCCTCAGCGTGTGATCGACTGATTGGTCAGAGCCATCAGCATCCTCAACCAATTATACCGGCTAGGGTTTCTTCTACCTTCGCAAGGTGGGGGTTCTCCAGAATGGCTGACGCCCGGCGACCCTCCGCAGGGATCAGCCTATGTTGGGTCGGGACGTGGCTTTCATTCCCACCACTACATACACCCCAAGCCATGTCCCGCAAGGCATTCGGCTGGGCCCTTACGACTCTTCGGTCGCTTTTTTGATCGCCGCATGCAGGTCTAGTATGTGCGTTATAGACCTCAATTCGTCCACATACTTTCTCACGACCGCAGGGCATTCTTTCATGAGCTTTCTGAGAGGTTCCCATGAAGACTCAATGTCCTCAAGGCCTTCCCAGAACACTTCGAGCATGAAGTCATTCACATCCGGGACAAACTTGTGTCCCGCGATGGATCGAACCTTCAGCATGATCCCTTGTTCGGACACGTGTTCTTCAGTGACTTCAAAGCTTGACTCCGCATACATCTTGATCCTTGACAAATGTGCTTCACGTTCTTCGTGGATGATCAAGTACTCTATTTTGACAGAGAACTCGCCAACTGCCTTGACTCGGTAGGGTCCCAATCACGTCACCAACTGCTTGGGAAGACTGCGCTCGTCGACTCGGGACCATAACACGTAGTCCCCTTTGGTCACGTTGCAGTTTTCATAGCCTTCGGTCTTCATCATGGCCTTCAGGACGCGTTGTTCGTTCTTGCTCATAACTTCCTTGTGGATCTCAAGAAGACTTGCACGGAGTTTGTTTAGATTCCTCTGGATGTCCTTCTATTTCCAGGAAACGTCACAGAGTTCACGATCGACACACATCACTCGAACGCCTAACGGGGTCACGGGTTCGAGCGTCGTCAACAATTCCATAGGCGATTTGTTCGCAAGTGAGGTTGCAGTCGTCTGGTTGAGATTTGCTTGGACGACCGGTAGTAGGTAGTCCCATTCCTCGTGCGCCAGTTTGTACACTGGCATAACATAACCCGCATCACTTGAAGGATATCGCGGTTCATCCTTTCGACTGTGTCATTGCGCCTGGGGCAGTATGCCAAGGTAAAGTCATGCTGGACTTTGAATTT